GGGACATGCACTGTCCACTATTGTATCCACAACCTCATGTGGCTGTTGTAGAAAAGGGGCAAGTCAAAATTCAGGTGTTGAGTGAGTGTAAAATGCATCCTGGATTTCAAGGACTCAGTACAAGAAAAAAAAGTAAAATAGTCCATTGATATTTTTACACTGATTACAAACTGAAATGATATCAATAAAATTAAAATTATTTCCACCTGTTTATTTTTACTTCTTAATGAGACTACCGGAAACTTAACTGTGGCTCTCATATTTCTATTGGACAGCACTGGTCTATCGCCCTTGTTACGATGAAGAAACTGAAGCCTGAAGAGGTCAACGCACTACCAGGACCCCAATCTGGGTGTCTTCACAGCTAAGGCAGCCTCAGAGCAGAAAGGAGGTAAGGATCAGGATCACCAAGGGCCTGGGCACGGGGGACCCTAGCCAGCCCCTGGCCAGCACAGGAGCTCAGTCCACCTCATCTCTGCCTGGATCAGTGCGCCTCCTACTGCAGCCACCTTACAGCTACTCCACACGGGTGACAGGACTGGCTACGGTCACGCAGGCAGCGGGCTATGGTGGTGCTCATGCCCACCTCTTCACGACCACAGATCAGGGATAAACGAGGTGTATTTGGGGTGAGGGTAGCCAGCCAGGCAAGGTAGAAGACTGCCCCTTCTCCCACCCTCCTGAGAGCTAAGCAAGATGAAGCAGCTAGATCAACACAAGGGGGTGGGAGCAGTTCAAGATTCATGATAATGTTCTTCTCACAGGTGTTCCCAGGGAGACACTATGAAGACAGATATGGGACTTTGTGTTCATCCAACTGAAGATAAGATTTGAAAAGAGTAGAAAATAAGGCACAAAGCAGAACTGTAAAGGCGTACGGAAGAGCAGAGGCACGGGACAAGGACCTCCTCAGATGGTTAGCTCAGAAGCCTCTGAAAAGGGTCCAAAGATGGATTAAAGGATGGTGAGGGAGGAGTAGCACTAGTTTGATTTGAGTATGTGTTCTGTGAGGCAAGGTAGGGCAGTTGGGAAGACTCCTCTGTAGGAGGTAGAGAATAAACAGAAGGTCAGGAAGGTTCAGGTCCTGACAAGATGCTCAGCCTCTAGTCTAGAGGGACAGGCAGTCCCTGTGAGTTATGAAGGTGGTGATCCAGGAGCTGGGGGTGTAGAATTGGCCGGAGGCAGGGAGAGGAGCTGACTGCTGCTCTCATTGAGTTGCTGGCTGGAAGGGCCTAGCCCAGGTCAGTGATGGCAGTGGAAAACAAAAGTAAAAAGACAAAGACTCAGCAGAACTGGCCACCGAGTGCACGTTGAGAGAGAAAGGCTGAGTGAGCCCTGTAAGGCTGGTGTTGGGTGGATGGGCAGGATGGGAGGTGCTGGAAGGGGGCAGGTTAACAGCTTGAGGGGTTTCAGCTGTGGGCCAATTAGTGGTCACAGCCTCTCAGCTCCAAACTTACACCCCTGAGGCCTCCATTTAGAAAAGGCCCAGAAACCAGTGCATTTAAGGCACCTTGGCCCAACAGCACAACACCTACTGGAAGCAGGCGTCCCCGGTGAGAGAAGGGCAGAGTGCCAGCCCCTCCACTTAACCTCTGTGGGTCAGGCTCTGCTCTAGGCGCCTGGGAGCCAGCAGAGAACACTCACCCCAGCCTTCCCGGGCTCACAGACTGTGGCTAAGACAAACAAAAACTGAATGCCTAGAGGACACTGTGAAGCAGCACCAGCTCCTCCTGCAGCCAGGGCACTTCCACACACCATTCCCGTGGCCTCCTCAGCACTGAGCACAAATGATGCCTAGGAAGCACTGAACTGCTTACTGACTCTACCACTGTTAGCCAAGAAATAAGCACTTAAAGTGGCTAGTGACCAGGACTCCAAAAGGCTCTGAGACTAAAAACACCCTACAGGGAGATGCTTAACAACAACAATTGTTTCTTCATATAGTTTTTTCCTGTTGTTTCAGGAAATTCTGCAAACAGTTCTAGAGTAGCTACTGGGGACAGCTGTCCAAAATCTATTAATTGTAAACAATTCACAAGGCGATTTCTCACATAGCTGAGTTATACAAAGATGCTTCCTCTACTCCATCTTCAAGTACAAATATGAGCTTCCTTATAATGCGTGTAGTGAAAGAATAAAAAAGTCTGAGGCCAGAAATCCCAGAAGCAGCCCAAGAGAGCACCACCACTGCTGTTCCCAAGTGGCTATTAAACACATGCGCATTCCTTTACCCACAGGTGTCTGCTTCATCATAAAATAGAGCATGCCAGGTTAATGTGCGACAGTCAAAGAACCAACATGGCAGAACAGGTTTTCCTATATTGCCTTGTTTACTTCAGTAACACACAAAAAAAGCAATGAACCTTATCTAACCAGAGTAATGTTTTATCCCCAAGTAACACCTCAGGGTCTGCATTGCTTCCCCTTAAAACAAACACACAAACACACATACAAAATAACAGACACAGCCCAGAGTCTGGTGTGAAACCAAGAAACCCAAACACAAGTTTAACTGAATTCTCGAAACTAGTCTTGGGTTTCCTCAACTTCTCTCATCCATGTAGAGCTCATGGCTTGTCATTCTTTAGTGACTGGCCCCATGCACACAACATATCAAAGATGAAGACAAGGTACTACTTATGTGAGTTTAAAAAATGTCCTTTGGTTAATGGCATGAGCAGAACAAGGACATTCCAGTCCACTCTAAGTTATCTTTATTGCCAGGCGGTTCCTTGGACTTTTAGAAGTACGAGGACTTCTCTGTTCTCTGGTGGATGGTGCAAAATGTCCAGTCTGCTCCAGCCTTGACCGCTGGGAATGTTGGCTAAGCAAGGCGCTATTGGGAGAGGGGCTATTGGGGAAGCTTCTGCAACTCAGGATGGGACTTCTGGGAGCTACTGGTGCTCAGACTAGAGCAAAGGAACTAAGTAGGGGGGCCCCTGGTGCTCCGCTAAATCAGGTTCATTCTAACAGGCCAAGGGCCAAATCCTTTCCTTCAGAGCTCCCCCAACTTAATCTCTAGGCACTGTGGAAGAAACCCCACATAGAGAGTGTTGCTGTTTAGTTCTACATTCACACACTAATGTTCCTTATGAAATTAGGAACCTTTGTTTTGGGTAACAATTTAGAAGCCTCCTGGCAGAGAAAAAGTATTTTTTTTTTATGTTTATGGGACTCTCCCCACAGCTACCTGAACAAATATATACAACATACTCAAAGCTTCTTTCTAAAAATGCCTCATTGAGAATAAGGGTGCTCTAAAGATATGGGTATACCCTCAAGACATAAGGTTTCAGTTATCTCAAGTAAAAGCTTGACTCCAGAGATATTGAGTTTTCCATCTTCACAAACAACAATGGCAAAGGACAGAATCCCTGCTGGTCCAGCTCAGACCACAGCCAAGAGAAAAGTCAGCATTCTCTAGTCCCCACCCCACCCCCTTCGGCTAACAGTCTCATGTGCGGGTCTCCCCCCTCCTGGATAATACCTCTGGGGATTTAAGACTCAGCACAATTCTCTGTTAGCGCTCCTACCACCCTCACCTTGCTTCCTTGCTCCGTTCCTTGCCAAGTCCTTGCCAAGTTACGCATGTTGAAAGGTTACTGAAGCCAACAATGGCCACTCTCATCCCCCGGAGGACAGCTGGGCCAAACCCAGAGTTCGCTTCAGGAGGATTTAATAATCTTAACTTCATTTCCTGGGGAGGTTCAGGTTCTTAACGCACCTACCAAATATCCTGAATACCAACTGTCACAATACAAATGATTACAGAGTCTTCAATTACACAGTCTTCGAAAATGTTTACAGTAATCGGTACACTTTAAGCACTGCACTGTTTGCATGTTCAACTGCACACACACACACACACACAAAACCAAAAGTTAAAAAGCAGCAGATCCCTGGTTAAGGATTTCGGCAGCCCTGCAGAAGCCTTTTTCTGAACCAAAAGGAGAGGGTTAGGGAGCTGAGCGGATCCCTTCCGCGGGGTCCAGCTCTAACAGTAGGTTCCGTGAGGATGGGTGCAGTCCCCCTTGCTCCGAGGTGGAGCCGGATTTCTGCCGCCCGCGGCGATGTATTTAGGTAGGCTACCGACCTGTACCGGGTTCGTCACTTTCCTCTGACTCCCCTCACACCTTCGCGATCTGAACTGCGACACTTCCCGGGGCAGCGGCGCGTCTGAGCCACCCGCAGCACCGCTAGCCGAGTCAACTGACTGTCATGGCTTTTAGTCTACACCGTAAGCAAGTTTCATTTCTAAAAGGGGCGGAACCAGGTCGCAGACACCGTATTCCCGAGAAGTTTGCGAGAGAAGCGCAGCACACAAGTCACTCGCTTGGGTCACTTGGCTCCTCACGGGGTCCACAGTCTGGTGTGAGTCCAAGAAAAGTGAGCGACTTCGGCCCGGGCCCCGGCACCCAGACCCGGGAGCGCCCCTCCTCTGCCCAGCCTGGTACCAGCCCCTGACCGCTGCGTCTCCAACTGCGCCACCCAGAACCGCCGCGCTCGAGTTCGCGCTGCGCGGGCCGGAGACGCTGGGACGTGCCGGTGGGAGCGCAGGTGCGAGCCCGAGAGACCGCAAGCGAGGCAGGGGTGGCGGGGCGCCGGCGGACCGCCGGCAGGAGCCGAAGGCCCCATCACGTACGCTTCGGCCTCCCCGCGGCGCCCGGCCAGCGCGCAGCCCGCTGGACGCGCGAGCAGGAACTCGCTGAAGTTTGCCAAGCCCCGGCGAAGTCTCTGGAAAGTTGCAGCTCCCTCTCGGAGCGTCTCGCCTGGCCCACGGGGACGGGGGTGGAGTGCGGCTGCCCCTGAGGAAGCTGCGGGGGAAGGGAGCAGCGGGTCCCAGCACCTGTCCGCACCACCCCTCGTGCCCCCGCGCCCCCGCTGGGCTCGGCGAGGACCTGAACTCCGTTCGGCGGGGACAGACCCCCGACGGCAGAGAGAGGGGCTCTCTGGAGCCGCCGCATCCGCGCCCCTTTGGAGGAGGGGTGCCCTGGACTCACCTGAGCGACGGAGGAGGAGACGACAGAGGCAGGTCCTTGGTGTGGGCAGCCCCCAACAGGAGCGGGACGGTCACTACAGCCCCCGAGCAGCTGCACCAAGTGAGCCGGCGGGCCGCCGCCCCCTTCGTTCTTAAACGGCCTGACCACGCCTCCGCCCACAGCCCCCGCCCCCGCCCCCGCCCCTAAGCCTGCCTCCCGGGGGAGCGAGGGGCAGGGCAGGGCGGAGCCAACGGCCACGGGATCCTTCCGCCTGGACGCTGACGGCAAGGGCAGGGCCAAAGGTGCCCTCTGATTGGCTCCTCGGGTGAATGGTTGCCGAGAGACAAGTAAATCTTCGGCGGCGGGAAGGGGCGGGGGTGCCAAAGGCAGTAGCACTGCGCACGCGCAATAGAGAGGGGCTACGTTGACACCCCCTGAACTTCGGAGTTACTGGGACTCCCTCTGTTTCTACTTTCCACTGCACTCTTTCCTGCCCGTCCTAACGCACAACTTCCCCCAAGCTTTTCCCATCTCTGTCCCGCTCCCTCGCGGACCTGCTTTTCCTCAGCTTCTCTAGAAGTTTTGCGTTGGTTCTCTTTCCAGGAGTGAGGAGTGAAACCCCACGCCTACCTCCGGGGTGTCTTTTGAAGCCGGGAAAAAGGTGTGGTTTCTGAGCCGGAGAACCTTCCTGATTCCCCAAGCAAATTGGCTGGAGGTTATTGGGGAGAGAATCAGCGCAGTTGGTTCTCCGGCCGCGGTAACCACCTGTGTGCAGTTAGTGCGACGAGGGCCTGGAGGGTCCGTCGCCGAGCCCGGCGACCGCGACAGCTTCGGGCCCCACGCGGTGTCCCAGGGCCGCCGCGTGTGTTATATAACGTGCGGGCGGGGTTTGGACGCCACCCCTCATTCCAAAGCAAGTTGTTTAGAGTCCAGGTTCTAAATTCAGATAACCTGGGTTGGGATTTCCATTCATCACCTGACTATCTGTAAGGCCTCGGGCAACTAATTTAACCAGCGCTCCATAAATCTCCATCTCCTCACCTATGGGGGGGGGGGGACGACTAAAAATGGTACAACTTTGTAGGGTTATATAAGTATTAAATAAGAAAAGGAAAAGCTATTAGGGCAGTGCCTAAAGTAAGGTGTGTGGTAAATGTTATTTATGGCAAATAGTAAGTTGTTTATCAATAAACGTTTATTGAGCTTGTACTGATCCTCTGGGTGGTGGGTGAAAAGATTACTCCCCAGATGCGGTATTTTTGTACCCCACCCCTTCTATTCCTGCCTGAAATAAATTTGGCTCTCAGTGTCTGTCAGGATAAAGAGTTCTCAAATGTATGCCTTCTCTGGGGAGGGGGCTCCTGAAACATCAAGGAGATGGGAGATCAGCATGAGTGCTTGTAAGAAAAGGCACAGGTGACTGTCGTGGGACGTGCAATCAGCATATGTGGTCTGATTTTTTTTTACTTTTTGTTTTTGAGGTATAAATTCAATAAAGTGTACAAGCTTGTGTGTACAGAATGATGAATTTCTACATATGTGTACACCCAAGTAACTGCTACCCAGATGAAGACATTGACAATCTCCAGCCTCCTCATGCCCCTTCCCATTCAGTGTCCCACAAGGGTAACAATTGTTCTGGTCTCTATCACCATAGATTAGTTTTACCAATATTTGAATTTGATATGGATGAATTACACAGCGTGTGTACTTTTGTGTCTGGCTTCTTTCACTCAATAGTGTGTCTATGAAATTCATCCATGTTGTTGCATGGAACAATGAATGGTTCATTCTTTTCCAATGCTGTGCATTATTTCATTACATAAATATTCAATAGTTTATGTACTCAGTCTATTGGTGGATGTTTGGGTTGCATCAACTTTTTGCCTATCATGAATGAAGCTGCTTACAAATAATCCTTTTTCCAGTTTTACTGAGGTATACTTGACAAATAAAAATCGTATATATTTAAAGTACACTACATGATGTTTTGATATACAGTGTGAAATGATCACCACAATCAAAACAGTTAACGTATTCATCACCTCACATAGTTACCTTTTGTATGTGTGGTGAGAATGCTTAAGACCAACTCTCATAGCAAATTTCAAGTATATAAATACAGTGTTATTAGCTATAATCACCATGCTGTATATTAGATCCCCAGAACTTATTCATCCTACATTTATACCCAGGATTGGAATTGTAGGATCATATGGTATACACATATTAAGCTTTAAATAGACTGCCAAACAGTTTCCCAATGTCGTATGACAATTTATATTCCAGCCAGTGATATGAGATTTCCAGTTGCTCCACAACTTTGGTATATTCAGTCTGTTTACTTTTTTAAAAAGGTGTGTGTGTGTATGTGTGTGTATTTTGTTGTGATTTAAATTTACAATTCACTAATAACCAATAATATTGAACAACTTTTCATATGTTTATTGGACATTTTGATATCCTTTTAGTAAAGTGTCTGTTTAAATCTTCTGTCCATTTTCAGGGATTTGTCTGTCTTACTGGTCTATGAGTTCTTTACATAGTCTACATATGAGTCCTTTGTCCAATACATGTATTACAACTATCTTCCCCCAGTCTGTGGCTTTCTTTTCATTCTCTTAATGTCATCTTTTTTTTTTTTTTTTAATCCTCACATGAGGACATTTTTCGATATTTTGTTCAGATAGAGTGGGAGGGAGAGAGAGAAACATCGACGTGAAAGGGACACATCGAGTGGTTGCCACCCTTAATGTCATCTTTTGATTAACAGAATTTCTTAATTAAAAAATACTATTAATCTTATTTTTATAAATAATACTCTTTATGTCCAGCCTAAGGCCATAGGGGTTCATCTACTTAGTTTTCTTCTGGAAACTTGATTGTTTTTGCCTTCACATTTAGGTCTATGGTTCATCTCAAATTAATTTTTTGGTGCAGTTTGGGGTCAAATTAATTTTTCCCACATGGATATACAATAAGCTCAGTACCATCAGCAAGTAGTTTTGTTGAATGAATGAATGAATGAATGAATGAATGAATTGCTGAAAATTCAGTTAAGAGAACAGAGTGATTGGTTACTTAAAATCGAGATTGTCCATAAAAATCCAGCATACACGATCACATTAAAATTAGTGCAAATTATTATATTGCATTGGCCCTTTGACCATTTCTACTTTTTCAGTACCTCATGGATACCATTAGCACAGGTAACCTCAGAGTAGAACACAGGTCAGAAATTTATGGTTTGGTTCTACCTTTGCATAGGTAAAATTATGTCCAGCGTCCTGACGATTAGGAACTTTTTTGGTAGGTAGGAGGGGAGAACCAAGAACCAGAATAGAAATTCATTATTCATGTGTGTGTATATGTTTTTCTTTGAGTCCCTTTTTATTTCTGGGGTATGACTTGACTTTTCTAGAATTTTGTTTCCATTTCTTTTGTTTGTTTTTTTAAAACACACAATGTTCTTTCTACCTCATAAAGCTGTGGCACCCTGGAGCTGGAAGAAGTCTCGAAGTCTCCAGGTACAGCCCACTAGCCATGGAGTGATCTGAGCCTCCTTCTTGCCCAATTCCGGCCTCTGCTAGAGCACATCCAATCAAAATGATTTCAAGACATTTGCATTCTGAGCGATTCTCTGATCTGTACCTAGGATTGCCGAAGAAAGAAAAGGCAGGAAACAGTCTTTAAAATACAGGTTGTGCCTCATTTGTGGCCATGTCACTGAAAAAGTTTTACGTCTCAATAGAATCTTATTTTAAATACTTGGGGACGCAAAAAAAAAAATATTTATTAATCATTTTTGTAAGGCAAGGAATAAATCTTACGTTTATTGCCCAGTTTTTGTATTCCTTTATCTCAAGGTGGATCACCATGACAAGCATCTATTAAAATGTCTTGTTCTAAATATCTTTCTTAAAATTATTTTTAAGGAAAGTTTTTAATTGCTGCACATTGACATATAGAGCACACAGATCACAAGGGCCCAGCTCAATGAATCTTCACAAACTAAACAAACCTGTGTCACTAGCACTCAGATGGAGAAACGAAGCCAACGCAGTGGCACTGTCTCCATTCTGGTGAGTCTCTGGTGAGGCTGAGGCAGGACGCACTTCCCACTTCCCATCTAGAACTCTGTGCAGTACATCCCCGTCTCTTCTTGGGCTTCTTCCAGCCATTGGTTTTCCTGGGTGTTGCAGAAAGAACACTAGTTTTGGAGTAAAAAGGTATAAGTTTTATTTGGAGCAAAGCACAGGAGGAATGCACCAAAGACTGGTCAAATCGGATGGAACAGGGAGGAGGAAGTGAGCTGTGTCTTTGGGGACAGTTATGGCAGCAGAGACACCGGGGCATCAGGAAGGAGGAAGGTTGGAGCCCAGAAAGGGGGAGGGGGTGATGGTGGCACTGCCAGAGAAAAGGATGGATGTCAAAGATGAGTGTGCTGACTTCATTCCTCTGAGTGATGTCTCTAATGGTGTCCCTGGAGGGAGGGTGGAGGATGGGGTCAGATAGCTGATCTGAGTCTCGGCTTCCTTGTCCCAAACCAGGAATGAGCATTAGCTTCCCTGCTTCATGGAGGTGTGTGCTGGTCAAATGAGGTAGTAAATTCATGCGCAGGCCTCGTGCACAAAATATCTCCCTCTGCCAATCTCGGGCCCTTTCTCACGTTACTGTAAGGACAGCCTGGCAAGCAAGTTGGAGGAGAGCAGAGGAGGGTGAATTCTCCACACCTCGCTGTGGCTACTTTCACTTTTAGGGCCTCAGATTTCTTATCTGAGGATTAATGTTTTCAAATCTCCCTTCAGGGAAAAGGGATTCTGTGAAAGTGTAAATTGTTAACTGATCGTTTCATATCTTACGGCCAACTCCTGGGTCCACTCTGAACATGACTTTCATTTAGGCCCTGGGTGTCTCTTGCCAGCTGCCAAAATGCCTGAAACTCCCAGCACTGACGTCCATGCCTGCTGGAGAAGAGCCTGCCACCCCCCGTAGCTTGCCAGGATGCCCACCTGCCAGGAACAGCCGACTCATTACCTGGCGCACTTCTCAATGCTCAAACATTATCTTCCAGTCCCCATATCAGTCTAGATATTTAGTTGCAATTAATAAAAAATTACTCTAGATGATTTAAACAAAATGGAATTTCTTTTT